CTTCATAATAATAAAAAAGCAATAATGACGATAATTGTGATGATAATAATTCTAAATCCAAGGGTGAAGAATAAAAATAGAAAATATTTTTATTCATTTCCTTTCCTTTTTGTATTTGTTCGTACTGTGAAACGTTTGATGCACATAAAAAAACACTTACCTTGTATGTATTGTCCTGTTTTCTCATTTCATGACATACAACTTTTTTTTCTTTTTGTTTTTGTCTGCTTTTTTATTAGATATTGTGAGATATATAAAAATATATTCATACATTGTTCTTCCACTTTTTTTGTTTATCTTACAAGGAAAAGTCTAGCTGAACAACCATCAGTTTTAATCATTTATGTCAAATCTAATGCTTGGTTCAAACGGAAATTGAATATGCTAGTGTTTGATATATAATATTACGTTTATTCGTTAATTATATAAAACTATTATTAAATCTAAAAGTTGTGTTTATTCTTTATCTGAACAAATAAATAAATCTGTCTTGTTCTGTATTACAAACATAGATTGATTAATGGTTGTTACTTCAATAAAAAATTTGTTGAAAACATGTATTCATACATTGTGGAAATTAGTCCCATTATCGTTCTTTATTATTATCATACCATTATGAATTAATTATGAATCATGGAAACGAGAAGCACCTTTACTTGGACAACATTTAGACAATCAATATTCAAGATTTCTTCCTTTTTATGATTGTTTCAGGTTTATCGTATGATATTGGTTATGGTCAAAAATAATTTTTACGTTTTCGAGGACACGGTGCACCAGCAGGTATATGTGGTAGAGGATTGAGAAAATGTAAGAAAGAGTTTTTTTGTGTAGTTATTTTGGATGCACCAACTGGCATGAATTCGGATATTTGGCTTCCTCTTCAACAAAATCTTAAAAAGATAGCAACAGTAAATGTGTCATGATTTTTTTTTGTGTTGTAATAAATTATGTTTAGGTGTGCATCTATGATCGAGCTGGATTAGGAATGAGTGATCCATCATTAAGTTCGACAATTAAATAACGTAATATTTCAATTGAAATAAAATACAAAAATCATTGCATTTTTTAATGTAGCATTAGATGAAAAAGAAAAGAAAGTAACTAAACATCGTAGAATGGGTTTTACTGTAGAAAAGTATATATTGAGTTTCTAAGTGAAATTTCGATGGAAATTATTGAACTCCTTGTTAGAATGTCAGAAGATCTTAATTGTCTTGTAACTGCAACAAGTCAACAACCAAAACCATTTATTTTAGTTGGGGCTGATCTCAGTGCTATTGTCACTTGTTTTTATGCTCAAATGTATGAATTGTAAGTTGAATTTCCAATATGCATAGTCCCTTACGATCGTTGATCAGCTCTATTTTCAATTTTTGAATTTACGGAAAACTTATACTACTGGGTTTTTATTTCTAGTGATGTTAGTCATTTGTTTTTGATTGATCGGTTAGTCGAAAATTTATTCGATAATGAATAATGAAAGTATTTTTGGTATATTTTTCTACTGATTTGTTTTCTCGATCTAACACCTTATTTTTAGGTATAATAAAATAATTCCTCACTTACATGCTATGAAACTCTCAGCAGCTATGGGTATCAATCGAATTCTTGTTTTAACAGATATGATTAATATTCCGTTAATTATAGAAACATCTGACAATGCAAAAGATGATAATATTAATATTAATCATCGACAAGTGATTGAATTTAATTGATAAAATAAAAGTTTTTTTTGTATGATTATTATTTCAAACACGTTTACTTTGTAATGCTGCTCATATTAGTTCAGCTATTCGAGAACACTTTTATATGAATGAAACATTTTTACAAATGAAGTAAGAGATATTAATTAAACAAAAATTACAATAAAAAAAAGTGTTCTTATAGATTAGCGTGGTGAATGAAAGTTTTCCCTTCAAATGTACCTGTAACAATTGCTAATCGTCGTCAATATGATAAAAATCTATCTAACGATTTGAATTAAGTATTTTTTTTACTTAAAATTCTTTATTTTAATTTCAATGTTTTGTGCATTTAAGGCATGGGATGATTCATAAGAATATCTTCGAAAGCAACTATTTCGTAATCAAATTCAACATTGAGCAATTGATTCAATTGATAAATATTTTACCTTTAACAAACAAGATCTATTAGAATCATTAATTAAAGATTCCATAAATAAATGGTGACAACAAAAATGACTTGCATAAAATATTTTGAAATTTCATCACGACCCGCTTATTTCTTCTTAGTGCAGCGCATATGGGTAGACCCTCGATCGTTTAATCACGTAGTTACACCCGTTCTATCCCCTCGATCATCTTCATCCTTTGTTATAGTGATGATTTGAAATAGATATCACAATGATATCTTTCGTCTAGGCGTGCATTTCGTAAAGAAAAGATTAACAAAGGAACAAAAAGAAAATAGATATAACGTCTGAAATGTTGTTAGACTATTTAGTTTTTGTTCCTTTCTCTGTGTATCGTATAAATACCAGTGTGGGGTGTGGGTGTCGGTGTGGGTGCGGGTATGGGTGTGGGTGTGGGTGGGTGGGGGTGGGTGTGAGTGTGGGTTTGGGTGTGGGTGTGGGTGTGGGTGTAGGAGAGTATAGGTTGCGGGTGGGTGCGAGCGTGAATCTTCTCTACTAACACCCACACCCACACGCGCATCCACACTCACACCAATACCCACATCCACACCCACACTCTCTTATGTTTTGTGTGTCTATGTACTATAGTCTGATCTCATTGTACCATTATTTCGACATATCTAAAGGTAACCGTATAAAGATATAAGAATCAATACAACAGAATACTAATGAGAAAACAAAACTCAATGAATCAATACCAAATACAGTGAAACGAGCTGTACGAGAGGGTGTGGGTGTGGGTATGGGTGTGGGTGTCGATGAGTGTGCGGGGGTGGGTGTTCTTCTCTCTGTGAGAAATAACCGACCCCACACCCAAACCCACGCCCACGTGCCACCAC